GGCGTGGTGGAAACATGCGTTCGGGCCGCGAGGGTTTGCGTTTGGTCATTCACCTAGAAGTCACCTCTTGAGAAGCCACCCAGTTCAGTGTCATAAGAGCTAGACGTTGGCAGATCAACTTCTAACCGCAGTTTTGTTGAACTTGTTGATCCCCGCAATGGGGGCCAGTGCAGTTCGTCATATTTTTCTCTTGAACAGATCAACTATCATTATCTTCTTCTCCTTCCACCTGTCACCCCCTCCCCTCCCCCTTACTCCCAGTGCCATCATAATCACCCACCCTCCCCATTCTCCTCCCAATAATTGATCGCCATCTTTCTCGTCTTTACCGTCCTCCTGTCCCCGCTTCCCTCTTACCTTCTCCGCTTCTCACCGTCGTCGCCGTTTTCTTCTTCCTGCTCATTCTCGTCCTGTTCTTCGTCGCCTCCCTCGTCGTCGTCGTTGTCGTCGGAAGTGCACCCGTCGTCCTCCTCATCCCCGTGGCCCTCGTCCTTGACCCCTATCAATGTCGTCATAGCTTTCCCAGTTGTCGTCCTCTGGTCGTCGTCCTCTCGTCGTCGTCGTCCTCTCGGCATCGTCCTCTCGTCGTGGTGCTCTTGTCGTCCTCTTGTGGTCGTCCACGTCGTCTGGCCGCCGCTGGCGGCGTCGTTGCTCCGCGACGCAGCAAACGTTCAAGCGCTTCGACACGCACAACCACGGCTACATCACGAAGGACGACCTGCGGCAGGCGCCGCCAGCTCGGCCCCCAAGGGTCTTCTGCAGCGACGTCGCCGTCCAGATTCGAGGGGGGTTGGGGAGAGGAGGAGGAGGGAGCAGAGAGGAGGGGGAGGAGGAGGAGGACCTTTGGGACCTGTTGACTAAGCACAAGATCCTGCAAGGAAGGGGGAGGAGGGGAGGGGGGAGGGAGGGGTGACAAAAGCAGCCCCGGCCCGGGAGTGCCTCAGGCCGCGGCCTCGGCTCCGCGGGAGGCCGCCGACACCGCCGCTTGGAAGTCCATGCGGTCGAGCACGATCCGAAGAGCCTTCAGCACTCACTCGCGCTGAGGGCAGAGGCCCTCTTCCATCCGCTGCAGATTCTCCCGGCCTTCGTCGAAAGACCTAGGCACTTTGACGTCAGGTGGCACCCGTTCACCGCTGTAGACTTCCCGCGTTGCATGCAAATTGTGAGCAGGTAGCGGTCCCATTTCTGGGGCTTCTGGCCAGCGTGAATTTCGCGTCTTGCCGCCAACGCGAACGCAGCCGCCGCCGAGAAATCCGAGGAGCCTTCGGGGAGACCTGAGCATGGCCTGGCAGCAGCACGGATGATCCGCGACAAGGGTGCCATCAAAGGGCAGCGTCAGCATTCCCATTTGCTGCCTACTTTGCTGAAGCAATGGCTGCCCTGCTGGATGGCAGACGACACTGCAGATGGCGCTGGCCTCCTCTCTTTGCTCTGAGGTTCCCCGTTCCAGGGACCTGCCTCCACAGCCAAGGCCAACGCCCGTCGGGCACGAGCCCGGACCAGAGTAGGCCTTGATGCGCTCCGTGTGCTTCTCGACCTTCTCGTGGCGTTCTCGACCCCGTGGCGAGCTGCCAGGGCCGACGGGGGATGCGACTCGACGCTGTGCTGCTTGACTCGGCCCCTTCCCGGGAGCCGTCCTTTCGTCCTCCCGAGGCCCAGGTGCGCCCCCGCAGGGTGCCGAAGATGGCGGCATTTGGACATGCGATGTCTTGACTTCTTCAGTACGGCGTGCTGTCCCCAGGGTTTACTTTTCATCCTGAGCCAGTTCTTGACAGTTCCGAGGCTTGGCGAGGGCCCCAAGAGGTCGACGGCGGCGAGAAACTGCTGTACCATCTGTGCAGTACGCTGGAGGTCCGGGAGGTAGGAGGAGCCCTCCTTGCTTCCCTCCACGTCCCCTCCTTTCTTCCCCTCCTTGCTCCCCCTCCTTTCTCCCCCCTTTCCGCATCTGCCCCCCTCCCTTCATCCCTCCTTTTCCCCCTTGCTTCCCCTTTCCCCTCCTCCCTTGATCCTTCTCCCCTCCTTTCTCGCCCGTTCTCCTCCCGTTTCCCCCCTTTCCATTTCCCCTGCCCCCACCCGCCCCCCCCACTTCCCCCCACCCATTTCCTTTCCTTTCTCTTCCCTCTTTTCCCTCCCCCCCGTTCCCTTCTTTGCTCATTTCACCCCCTTTTCCCCTCCCTTCCTTCCCCTCCCAGCACGCTTCACCAGCCGCCAGGCTAATCTAACGCACAGTTGTTGTTCAAGCACCGACGCATTTCTTGCCAAGAGAATCGGCTGAGGACAAGACGTAGATACACAATTCTGCATTTCTGTATTATGTAGAGCTTGATCTGGTTTCGTCTGGTTGCCGAGCTTTTTCGTCATGGTAGCAGCGGGAAAATTCCTTCCTTCTCCCCCTTTCCCCCCCATTCCTTCCCTCCCAGCACGCTTGACCACCCGAAGTCTGATCCTGTTTGCAGGTCGGCTTGTGTGGCGTTCAGGGTTTGCCTGGCGGCTGTCTGACTCACACTGTACTCGTTGCCGATGCCATGTGTGTTGAGTGGATCGGCACCGACTGCCAGGCCGGCTTGGCTTACATTTGGTTGCCGAGCTTTGCAGCGGCAGTAATCATCCCTTCATTCCCGAGGAGAATAGCACCCCTAACCCTAATAACACGATGAAGACGTGGCCTCACTGAGGTCCCCGTCTTCGCATTAGGGATAATAGATCTGGGCGGTTTGGTCCAACACATATGCAGAAAACACCTCTCCTTGATGTTTTTGGGCCTCTTAACTTAGGGCTCCTCCCAAAAGGGTTAGGTGCACTTCTGTTGTTGATCATCTGCCTCGCCGCCCGCCCCCCCCCCCCCCTCCGGGCTCCCGCGTGCCCAGGTGCTGGGCCAGGTGTACGAGGGGGAGGAGCGCTCCGCGCGGGAGGGGGGGCGGACGGGCGCCCGGGGGGGGGGGGACCAGGGGCAGTGTTTTCTGGAGCGCCCTCTGCGAAGCGCAGGTGGCACAGGATGTTCAGATCCGGGGGTGCCCAGAGCACGGGGCCCAAACAAATCTACACCACCACCTCCCTCGCCCCCTCCCCCCCCCCGGGAAGGAGGAGGGGAGGAGGAGGGTGGAGGGGGGAGGAGGAAGACGTGGTGGTGGTGTTGGTGTATATTCTTGGGGGCCCGCACTGAGCGGGCCCGAGAGGGCCTCGAGACGCCGCCCCGAGTCCATGGCTTGGTCCCCACCAGGCAGCGCCTGCCGCGAAGGCCTCTGCTGCCCGAGCCGTGCGTCGGGGCCTTCTTCCAGACGGGGGTACGAGTACCCATCGGTCGTTGAAGGTCGGTATGCTTGGAGTCCCCTATTCCAATCTACAGAGGGAGCCCGTGCCAAGAAGCACCCCGCTTGCCTCCAGGGTGCCCTGGTTTTCTCGGGTTTCGCCTGTTCTTCTGTGGAAAGCGTGACGTTCCCACGCCAGACATCACTGGACGTCCTGGGGTCTCAGGGTTGGGTTTCTTGTGGACGGTTTCTTATGGTCGGGCCCCTGCTGTACTTTAAGCGCCTTCCTACTTCAATGATCGAGTGGCTTCCCCTGTTCCCTCCTCTCCAGGGGTCGGGCGGAGACCCACTCTACTTCCGGCGACTTCCGATTTCATGTTTCCACCTACTTTTTCCGACCGATGGGTAGATGAGGTCGGCGAAGCGCTCCGCATCGCCGATGCATCGGCGATGCGGCTCGAACTGGAGCCCGATTTCTTCCGCCCCCATAGCGCCAATGCATTGCCAACGTCGCCGATACATCGCTGCTGCATCGGCGATGCATCGGCGATGCGGCGTGGTCCTCCGATACCGTCTACTCCGACCCCATCTAGGAGGCATTCAGTCTAATGCCAGGGGGCGCCGTGCCTAGACCTCCAACGTCTCGAGAAACTCCGTGCGGAAGTTTCTGTTCGTCGCTTTCGGACTCTGGGGGGCCTCGCCAGGCCCCAGGAGCGTCAGGAAGCGACCCGGTAGGAAGAGCAGGTCTTTGGGGAATGGGCAGGGCCTCTGGGGACCCCGCATTGGCTCAAGACTTCGGATGGGCAGCGTCAGGGACCAACCGCCGGAGGACCAGGGGCCGCGCTCTCTGGAGCGTCCCCGCGAAGCAGCGGAAGGTAGCACGAAGTGCCCAAGTCCGTTCGAGGTCGGCCCCCTCGGCGGCCACATGCGAGCCCGACCCCACCACCCCACGATTTCTAAGGGGGGAGGTGGGGTTCACTTCGCTCGGGAGGTCCCGAACGAAGTGAACCCCACCGCCCCCCTTGAAATCGTGGGGTGGTGGGGTACAGTCGGCCCGCCTAGTGAGGAAGGGGAACCTTCCCAAGGGCACCCTTGCATCCTTGCCTCCTCGGTCCATCCTTGGCCACTTTCGCTGGCCGCGCCCCGCTCGAGAAGCTTCGGAATGGGCGTCCAAGGCCCCTGCATCCGTATCGCGCATCCTTACGGTGCGGGCCGACTGTAGGGTTCGCATGTAGCCTCCTAGCCCCCCCTGGAGGGTCCGCCTCGACTCGGCCCGTTGCCCGAGAGGCGAGTCCAGCATGCGGCGGCGAGAGGCCTCCCAGGAGGCCCCAAGCGGCAGAAGCGATGCCAGGGAGGGGGCCGCCTTGGTCTCCACGGGCCCTGCTCCGAGCCTTCCTGCTGCCCCCCTGCTTCCCCAGGGGGCATCGATAGGGGAGGCAAGCTCAGGTCGACCCGTACCACAAGGGTGCGCGGCAAGGATGCAGGGGCTTTGGAGGCCCACGTGAACGTTTGTCGAGCGAGGCTGGCCAGCGAAAGTCGCCCAGGCCGGGCCGAAGGGGCAAGGATGCAAGGGCACAACTGAGAAGACTGCTCATCCTTACCACGCGGGGTGACTGTAGGTTCAGATCGACCCCCAATCGCCCACTCGTCGCCGACGGGGGCCCGACAGCCCCCCTCGCCCAGAAGCGCGCGGAGTCGCTGCCGGGGGCCCGTCGACGCTCTGTCGGCGATGCGTCGCCGATTCCTGGCCGATCTCCCCCCCCCCCCCCAGTGAGCCAGTCCCCCGCCACCGTTGCCCCTCACGCCTCGTCTCGGGGAGACGCGGGCACGGTCAGATGTTCGTGTGGGGGGGCCCTTGTGGGGCCCACCTGACGGATCTGCTCGACTCTGGTTCGGCTCCAGTTCGACGCCAGGCCGACGATAGCTTGACTCGAAAATGCGACCCAAGCTCAACTCGAGTCGACGAGCGTTCAACGAAGCATGGACGCATGAGTGCAGCGAGTGGCTCCATATGGATGTCCCCAGAACGAGCATCTAAACTCTGCACGAACGAAATGGGTACATAAAGAATGGGTGCAATGCCCAGCAGCAGTTCCTGTTCATTTTGAACAGGACTCGCTGTCCGCGCCGCCGCGGCCTGTGTCCATTTGAGACAGAAGGCCGCCTGCCCAACAGCGGCCGCTGTGGTTTGGGACAACATTTGTTGTTCGGCATTGTGCCCATTTTTTCCGTACCCACTTCGGGCTTCCAAATAAACACGGATGAAGGCGCACGGAGCAGCGACGGGTCCCAGCTCCGTGCAGAGATCGGCGCGCACCGTCGCCACATCGGGAGGCATCGGCTTCATGTTCCTGAGGAGACGGAGGAGGAGGAGGATGAGGAGGAGGAGGAGGAGGAGGAGGAGGAGGCGGAGGCGGAGGAGAAGGAGGAGGAGGACGAGGAGGTCCCGCACCCGCGTGCCAGATCCATAGGTCTGTAACTCATGTCAGCGTGTGTCCGATCCTCCCCTGACGCCCTTGCGTCGTGAGAACGTCACGATGGGGAGTTTTGGGTTGTTTTCGGGGTTCCCTGTCACTGATAGTCATGGGCACGGGCGAGGCACGGTGCAACGTGCAGCACCGTCTGTGGCCTCAGCCGAGGCAACCCGTTGGGGGGCACTTGCAGTGCCCCAGCACCGTCGAATAACGGCTCGGGAGGAAACGCTCGTTACTTGGAAGTGGTCTGGACCTCTCGGGGACCGCGCTGCGAACAACCGTCACGGCGTCGGATGTTTGGCCCCCTTCTCACAGCGTCTGTTTGTATACAACTCGCGTTTCCGCGATTCGGCTGAGCCGCTCCGACCGCAGTGCGAGCGTTCCCACCTCCGCCGACCACGGAGTCTGCCCCTCTTCGCCTCCCGCCCAGGGCTCGTCTCGATTCGATCCTTGTGTGCCGTCGGCATCTCGTTTTTAGCGAGCACTCGCGTGCGCTAGCGTGTGATAGTCGATGAGACAGCGTCGATGAAGCGTCGATGTCGCGCCGACTCGCGTCGATTCAGTGTCGGTCAGCGTCGATTCGCAAGACCCAGTAAGACGGCATGTGTTCATTGTTGGCCCCCGGGGGGCCTGGCCGGCCCTCGGCACCGTCAGCAAAACGACTCGGGAGGAACAGTTTGCCCAGGGGAACGGGTCATCAGATCATCAGAGTGATCATCACCATATCATAGCCTAAGTAGTGACCCTGAGCGTGACTCTTGGTGAGGAAGAAGAAGAGGCGGAGGAGGAGGGGGAGTTCGAGGAGGAGGAGGAGGAGGAGGAGGAGGAGGAGGAGAAGGAGGGAGAGGAGGAGGAGGAGGAGGAGGAGGAGGAGGAGGAGGAGGAGGAGGAGTGAGTGTGAGGAGTCGGCGCGATCAGAGCAATAACTGGAACCCCATCCTTTGGAATGGGGAATCACTGGATGTGGGGAATCACGGAGGAGGAGGGGGCGGAGGAGGAGGGGGAGGAGGAGGAGGAGGAGGAGGAGGAGGAGGATGAACCCCATCTCTGGGATGTCGGGAGCAATGTGCCCAGGGGATCTGGGTCCAGACCGCTGGGGGTCCACGCGGGGAACAAAAATCGCGACGTCGGGGGCCAGGGCTTCCTGCCCTTCCCTGCCTTGCTTCTGCCATACAGTCGGGTCGATGAAGAAGGAACCCTTTTCGTTGGGGAGGGGCTCCGTGTTCCTTAACTGTTTGACAGCTTGCCTCAGGTTTCCCTTCTGTTTTCGATGGGAAATCGAAGTTTAACTTCTCGAGCAAAGGGGCCTCGTTCCTTACTTATCGTTCCTTAGGTCAACGCCCCGACTGTACACGCGGTCCCCGGAGGTCCCGAGCCTTCCCCATTCTACGCCTCCTAGATGGGGTCGGAGTAGATTTAAGTCGGGCCTGTCCCTCTACAGGGGTGATATTCAAGAATATTCAAAAATATTCGGGGGAGGGAAAGGGGAGGGGGAGGAGGGGAGGAGGGGGAAGGGGAGAAGGGGAGGGGAGAGGAGGAAGGGGAGGGGGGAAGAGGAGGAGGGAGGGATCGGGGAGGGCAGGGGGGCAGAGGGAGTGAGGGTGGAAGGGGAATATGGGGTGGGGGAGGAGGGCAGTGATGGGTGGGGAGAGGGGGCAGGAACGCGGACCACTGGCGCGCAGGGCTGCTCGACTCGAGGGAGGGAGGGAGGGAGAGAGGGCCGCTTGGGGGAAGGGGGCGGAGGAGGCGGCGGCCTGCTGTCGTGCCTCCAGCCCTGGGCGCGGAGGATGTCTCCAGGCTCGTGGACGAGGCTCGGCCCGCCCCCCGCGCGCCCGCCTGCCCCTCTGCAGGTGATCGCGAACACATGGATCAAGGGGGCGGTTCGATCGCACCCCTATCGAGGCTGGAGGCCCCCATCGTGCATTCCAGGGCTGGGCCCAAGATAGTAGGTCCCATCGCTCCCGTGAACCAGTCGGGCGATCGCAAACATGGATCAAGGGGGCGTGGATTAGCGACGGGTCCCGTTTCCATGGGAACTCGCGGATTTCCGCCGCCGAGCGAGGCGGTACCAGCCGCATTTGGGGGAGGGCACCTCCCCCGATCCCTGGATCTGGCGACCCCGCGCCACACCCATGCATCGCTAATCCATTTCTGCACGCCCCGGGCCTCTGCCCCTCACCTGGCATCCTCGCGCC